GAACAGGCGGAGACAGACTAATGCATCTTTCTCCCTCCGTCCACCACCCAGGAGCCCCCCCCCCCAACCCCCCAGCTCACCCTCTATCAGGTCCCACCAGGGCTGCTGGACCCCCCCCACCCACCTCCATGTCCTGACTCTTGCTAAATGTCCCACCCGACTTTTTGTTTCCTGTATGTGCCCCCCCCCCCCCCCCCCCCGGCCTCCTCCCTGCACCACAGACCACTGGGGGGAACAAGTGATGCTGTGACTCTTCCCTGATGAATCAAATATTTTCACAGCAGTATTTGATGGTCATCGTAGCGTAATATGAGTAATATGTAACAATGAGGACCGTGGATACGTTTTAGCCGGAGTCTTTCCTGCTTCAAAGACACGTCTGGATGCCGGTTGAACACTGACGGATATTTAGATCAGTCAGTCAGAAGTCGCCACCCTTTGACGGCTGAAGGGAGTCTTTGTGTAAATGTATGACAACATAAGCAGAATATATTACACCACTGCAAAGCGACCCGAGTGCCTGAGTTTGCAATGCAGCCTTTCTGTGCTTGTGTCGCATGGGTGCATCCTAAATGTTCACGAATGTGCACGAAAGGTCAAAGGCAGCGAGCGGAATGATTTCAGCCGCCGCCGCGTACCTGCGCAGCTCCCCTGTCCTCCGTAGCCGTGATGTTCTCTCTCTCTGTGTGTGTGTACGGATCACCTGACCTCCCTTTAGCTTCCAGCGGCGCGGAGCCGCTAGTTTGAGAGGTAACGTGTGTCTCTGGTCTGTGCGATGAGTCGTGTTCCGTAGCGCTTCGATGTGTCCAATCCGTGTTGCTCCACTGCTGCTCTCTGATGCTTCATCGACCCGAAGGGTTTATTGTTTTATTTCAGGGTTTAATGTCTCACGAGGACGTTTTTTTTTTTGTAATTGTTTCAACCACAGAGTGTGAAAGCTTTAGTCGTGTTTTGCTCCGTGTGTCATTTTCTTTCTTTCTTCTTTTTTTTAAACACAGTACACCTCCAGCATGCGAGTGAAGTACCTGGCCAACAGCCGGCCGGATCCCAACCGCCCCCCTGCAGCCCAGCCCGGCCCCGCGGACCCCTCCCCCCTCACTTAAAATCCCCCCCCCAAAAACAAATGTGTGTGTTTTTGTTGTTGTTTTCTCTGCTGGTTGCCCGAAGCAGAACGTGATGAATCTCACGCTCCGCAGTGCTCCTCCCTCTCTTTTTCCCCCCCACAATCCTCGGCTGGGTTTTACTATTCCTCTATTCCGGAGCCCGAACCGACCGTTTACACTCAGCTGGTCGTTTCTTTGCGCTCGAACGCACCGTGACACGTGGCCCCCGGGTTGTAGGTTTTCTTTTGTACTGTACTGTGAGAAACGGCTTGCACGCCAACGTGGGAGGAGCCAAGCGTTCTCCCACCTGAAGCGCGGACGCCGTTTCTCACACGACGCGCTCAGCGTAGGTTACACTCGTTTCACAGTCTGCTTGTGGAATTCAAAATGCAGGTTTCGCCAGTTATTGTCTATATACTGTATAATACTGTATATCTCTCTCACACACACACACACACACGTGACGTCTGGGACCACTTTTCCTGCAGTATTGCACGTCTTGCAGGTATAAAAACCCTTTTTCTTGGTACACATTTTTATTTTTAATCTTTTCACATTGTCGAGCCACTATTCCACAGCAGGAGACTGAAGCTGTGAACTTTATGGTGGCGCAAGCTCTCTGAGGACAGAAAACAGCTGCACGACGGACATGCAGCTGTTTGGGGAGAAGAGTCTCCGCAGGATGACGACGTTCATCCCAGGAAAAGACGAGAAGTTTTTATACCACTGGAAGAACTGTTTCGAACTGTTTTGAAGACGACGGTGGACGGCGGAGTCGACGTCTTCTGCAACATTCTTGCAGACTTTTTCGATGATTCTTTGCCTCTTCGCCAGACTACTTGTTATTCTCTGCGTGTTCCCGTTGAGTTGAAAAGCCTCATCTCCCTGAACAGAACCGGGCATTGTCCACACACACACACACAGACACACACACAGCAGCTTAAGAGTCACAAACACGTCTTACAGAATCCGACTGCAGGTGTCTGCATATGGAGAGAAACGCAGAGTCTCACAAATGTGTTTTAGCATTTCTAATCGAGTGGACGAGGGTGAGCGGGTGCTGTGAGGGATTGTGATAACTCGGCTCTCTATAATCTGACGATGCTTCGAAGGAGATGTTCCTACTCCTGCTTGCTTCTCGTAGATGTGCGTTGTGACCAGTACAAGTGGTTTTTTGGGAACGTGCCAACAAGTGAAGCACAACTCTTCTGCTCTCTGAAGCTGTTTTTAAATGTCTTAACTTGAGGCCACTTTGTAGAGTTGGCAGCTCGCGGTTGCCCGTGTGATGGGAGGATGAGCCTGACTTTTTTTCAAATCAATTATGCTCTTTAAAACATTATTACACTCATGCAATCGTTGTGTTTCTGGCTAGTTGTCATATTCTCTTTGTTGTTTGTAACGCAAGACGCCTGTACAGATTTTAAACGTTCACAAATGAAGAAGAAAAACAGTGGCGGAAATTGAAATTTCATTTTCTATTTCTTAAGAAGCTTATTCAACTCCTTTTTTTTTAGTTTTTTATTATTTCATTTTAGAATTTCTAGCAAGCACAATGTGTTGCTTCATTAATGTGAATATGGTAAAGTTTTTTTTTCCTGGAAATTAAAATCACTAGATGTTACTTTGTTTTTTATTTCATGCATCATTTTCGCAATCTCTGAAATGTGTTCATGTAAATCCTGTGGTTATATTGGGCTTGAATGCTGTGTTTTAAAATTAAACAAAACTTAACTGTACTGACCTGCCTGTTGGATTATTGGATTTAAAAGCTGATGACCAGGAACCGACACCAGGGGGCAGCACAGCACAGCAGCTACAATGATGCAGTCAATGCTTTGTTGGGTGTTTTAAATGTTATCCTACGTTTGAATCTAACAAGAGAGGCCTGACCAAACTGCCACAAACCCTTAAAACACTGCAGGTCATCTGGGGTCAGTGAGACAAAGCTGTTTAATTTAGTGTGCTCTCTGAACCGATCATTGTAATCCAGAATATTAACCCGGATCCAACTACTGAATCACAGGAACCACCAACCAAGAACCTGTATGAGGTGAAGCGGTGACCGCAGTGTGCAAACAGCAGCAGAATCCGATGTGCTACATGTCCCAGACATCGTGTGTGTGTGTGTGTGTGTGGTGTGTATCCGGTCGTGCAGCGACAGGCAGCAGAAAGGCCGCTCTGTGCTGCCTGACCTCTCCGGGCCGACAGCAGGAGAATCTTCTCATTTCGAGACATCATTCATGAATCACATGTCTTGTAACAGTTGACCAGTGACAAATAATGAGGCTATTTCACATTCTTTCTGACCATTAAAAGTTCTTTTGTTTAAAAGTGAAATGCGTTTTGTGCAGACTTTTATCCAGAATGAATTGTCTTGCTGTTTTTTGCTGCGTTCCCCCCCCCCACACTCAGGAAAAAGAAAAATCTTCAAGTCCTTCACTGGAGTGCCGCCCGTGACGGAGTTCAAGTCCTCCTCCGGCAGCGAAATGTGACACCTGGATTGTGGCGAGTCCCGCCCCCAGAGCCCGCCGCGTGGAGCAGGATTAAGGCCTGCGCCAGTTGCTGTGAGATCTCGCCTCCTAATCCTGCGGACAATGGCGGCTGTTAATTGGAGAGCGACTGATACAGCAAGACAATGTCCCTCTAATCCCCCGGACTCTGAGGAATGTCCCTCCGCGGCAGCCGTCCACACTTCACCGCGTCCACCGCGGCTCCTCGCCCCACACACCCGGCGTTCGTTTTTATTTGGTTGAGTCAAAAACAAACACAGAGTTGTGAAATGTCACGTGTTGCTGATGGGAGGTGCGAGAAAGCTCACTCGGGTGTTTGCGTCTCAATCAGCGGGCGACGAACTGTTAACAGGCGTAAAAGTGTTTCCTGTCCGGACCGGAACGACGTCATTGTCGAGACCTGTGAGGCCCCCAAAATGAACCCGAACGGGCCTTTCTTAACAGCTCGTCACGGGATTAGACGCATTGGCGTCTCTTTGTGTCTCTTTTAGCCTTTTTGTTATTTGTGGTGGTTTTACGGTTCTTTGGTCAGCTTTTATTGATTTCTAATCCTTCAAATGTTTATTTGTTGTTGCTTTTTGCCTCTTTGTGGGCGACGTGGGTCTTTTCGTTCATTTCTTTAATGACTTTGCATTCTTTTTTGGTCATTTTGCATTAGTTCTTACTACTTTTGCCTCTTGCTTTTCATGACTCGCTGGTTGTTTGATCGCCAGTCGGCTCACATAGAGACTCGGGTCCAGAGGCCGAGGGCCGGTGTCTCGTAAACTAATCCATCCGTGATATTAACGAGCCAACTGACATCAGCTGCCTCCAGCGTGACTCGTCATTCAGTCCCATGCCGCTGCTTTCGCACTACTTTTACATCTAGTTGTAACGTCAGCACATTAATACACCCTGTTTTTGGGCCTTATAATTAAAAGTTGAAAAGGGTAAGATGGGAGAGAGATGTGGTTCTTCGCCGGGGGGAAACTGTAGCTCAACAAGCGTGACTCAAACTGAGACAGACACAAGTCATGCGGGAGGTTTTGTGTTTTGTAAACAGAACCTGGTCGACGTTCTGGATCCTGGGCCCTTTTATCACTGCAGGATAAGCAGCCACGGCCTGCAGTCGTATTTCACCGTGCACGCTGGCAGTTGGATGTTTGTGTTCTTTTAATCTCTCGCCTGTCTCCTATGCAAAACGGCTTGGAAAACATTCCAGTAAATGACAGATCTTAGCAGACGTTATGATTTGCATAGATGTGGGCGTGGCTACTTTGAGTGACAGTTGGGCTTGACGTCGCTGCCAAAATTCGTCGGACTTCGCAGAATTCTACTGAAACTTACATACTTACCCTTACTTTATAATATAACGTTAAATATACAAATATAACGTTAGTTTAACATGGTTGCTGGATAGGAATACTTTAACATTTGTCAGTTAGCTAAATGTTGAGCTAACGTTACAGCTAGTTAGCTTAACTTACCGTCATTAAAGGGGGACACAGTTAACGTTAGCCAACGTTAGCCTAGCTCTTCCCAAAGGTAAGAAAACTGCTAGCAAACTGTTAGCAACATTAAAAGTCATTAATATATATATATAATTGACACAATGTGTCTTGCTTGGTAAATGTGCGTAGAAATGTAGAAAAAAACAATTTGCTTTTTGTTGTTGGGTAATGTGCAGCTAGTTGACGTGTACCAACACACCGATTCTCTCTTCTAATGTTAAATGTTAGGAAACGTTTACTGCAAAGGGTCTGAAATCTAAATGATAACAGTGTACAATTCAAAGCTTAGTCCAACTATATCCATTATTGGGAACAGGATAAATTGCAAAAGAAATCTAATAACTGATTCCCTCGTAGATGTGACTGATTACACGTGTTTTTGGCTAATTTAAATGTCAGACAAGCTAACGTTACTTTCTTCTCTTTGCGCACGAACACGCTTCCCTTTTAGTTATTTACCAGTGAACAAAACACTTCATCCAGGAGACAGTTCTGAGAGTTCTGAGAGATCGGAGACGTATTGGACCAACACTCTCATGATTTGTTATGGATGTAAAAACCTTTTATCTCTTGAAGGAAAAGATCAATGTGCTGCAGATCTGATTACTGTTTGCATATCCACAGCTCGGCAGTTTGATAATACGAGAGTTTTGCTCTTAAGCCACACGCCCTTCTTTCCCATGGCTCCAGTGGCGGAGGAGTAATCTCTCCCGCTTCCTTTTCTGTGAAGCGTTTGCCACTGACTAAATGGTTGTTATGGCTCGAAGGGCTTTGATTGTTCCAGCGCACACAATCTATGTTTGGGAGCTTGTGCACAGATTTATTGGGGACATTTTACAAGTTGACAGAGAGGAGTGCAGATGTCTGATTGTAGACACATCTGCAGTTCTTCCCGCTTCACGTCTCTGGAAGGCAAAGCTGTGGTTATGGGGTCGCTGTTCGGGTTTTGTTTTTGATTTCCTCTGAATAATTTGTCTCTGATGGATCCTCAGCTCTGTTTAATTTATTTAAATATATATAACATTTTCTTTTTTTGTGTTATCTAAACACATTTATATGAAAGTAGATTAATATAAACTGGCATAAATGGAAATACACAAGTACAAATACTTAAGAACATTGTCTAAAGCAGGACACTGCTGCTTTGCAGCTTTAATAAATCAGTCAAACTAAAAGAAGATCCAATATTTTTGACATTAAAAGTCTCATCTTGAACTCGGAGGATAAAGTCCAATAAAAACATGACCAAATATGTGATGTTTCTCAGTGGTTATGCGCTTTTATTTAAGTTTTAGATCCCACCGTGGGTCCCATGGTAGTTAATACCAGGATCAGCTCATAATCCCTGAGAAGCCAGTATTGGGAATGAACCGCTCGAACTCTCCAGATACTGGAGAATAAACAGCACAGTCACTTAACACAGTTCAAAGCGGCACAAATCACCACGTCCGGGTCATTACAAGCATATGTGAACCACGCAGGGCCGATTCCATTCTAAACATTGTACTACTAATTCAAAACAACGGGCACAGTACACAATACTGCAATCAAAAATGTACAGTGCAACCCAATATGGGTGAGAGACGACACGGGGGGGCGCGAATCCCCCCCCATGTGGAAACACTCATGTTGCTCTCGTAAAGTTCTCCCCTCAAAGGCCTCGGCGGTAAGCAGCCGGTGTCACGTGTAACTCGAGGTTATTCATACGGATAACAACGGAGAAGCTGAGCAGTCTGTTGTGCAAACTATTGTAGACCGCCGCTCACGTTACGCCTGCTTGTTATTCAGATGTTTCTATGGGATTTGTCTCCAATTCTTTGCTTTTGAGCCTTTGGAGGTGAGAGTCTTTTCAGGAGCAAACATCAGATCATTTGAAACTCAGCTGTGCAATATTTCAACAATAAAAAAAACAAAGAAAATTACATTTCAAAGCAATTCAAAAGCTGATTGTAACCCTGAATCAGAATCTCTTCCACTCGTTACTTTTCCTCCATCGTAACAAATACGAGGAGTGTTATTAAAAACAAGAATAAATAAGAGATTTTGATGGGTTATTCTTTTTTCTTTGTTATATTTTGGAAACAAATCTGAGGCATGTCATTAAAAAGGACGTAAATCAGGTCAGTTGACCAAAATGTATCACAAAGGGAAAAGTGCTTTGTCCTGATATACCTCAGAGTAGCTCACCAAAGGGAATCCGCCTGCTGCCAGCTCAGTTAATGGGAGATATAACACTCAAAAGCACAACAATATCTTCATATTAGAGCATTTGTCCGGAGTCATTGGAGTAAAACGATCTAAAACAAAAATACCAATTATATGTGACGAAAGGAAAGCCTACAAACAAACGAGCTGTATGGCTTTGCATTTTTTAAAAAGCAAAAAAAAAAAAGGTTAATGTGAAGCTGGCAAAAAGGCTTGAATATATGTCAATACATTCTATGAGAATTGCAGATACATTTACAAGCAACATATAAATCACAAAGCTCAACTGATTGCCTGCAAAGCTTAACGCTGAAAGCCACTTCCTGCCGAGAGCCGGGGCTCCACCGACCGGCGCGCGATGGGGGCGAGGCCCCGGGCCCCCCGACAGGAAGGAAGAGTCCGGAGGCGGGCCGCACAGCAGCCCAGTAAAACTAGCAAAGACCGCACACAACTGCAGCGACAACGCGGCAGCGGCGCGGTCTAAATACAAACACTGGTCCCCGCGAGCCTTTCAGATACCGAGGCACGGCGGGGACGAGGATGGGAAAGGAGCGGTCGCCCTAGAAGGCAACCTGAGGGGGGCACCACGGGGTGTCTGGGTGCAGGAGACAGTGCACAGACCTGAACCTGGAAGACAACAACAACAACAAAGCAACAGGGTCAGAGTTGCTGGAAGGAGTTGAAAACGGATTCAGTCTGCTTCATTGAATACGGAACGGTCCCTCACCTCGATGGATCCTCCTCCACAGGAAAAGCCCCTTTGAAATTTATGATGTTACTCTTGTTTTCGAACATCCCGTAACTGAGGGTGATCTGGAACGAAAAGATGACAGGAGAAACATGAGCAACATTGGGGAAAAAAACAAAAACAAATTAAACGTAGGTGGATATTGAAAAGACCCGCACCTGCTTGTGGATCTCCGATCTGGACACTTGTTGCAGGTTCTCCAGGTGGGAGTGGAACAGGTTGCTGCGGGTCAGAGGGACCCCCAGAACCGACTCGATGATGTAGCCCACGGTGCAGTCGTCCGGCAGGCGGATCTTCTCCGCCGTGTTCATGAAGTGGCCGCCGCTGGAGGGACGGAAAGCGCACACTCGGTCAGCGCTGAGGTGGCGCGGGCCAGAGGGAGTAGGTGCACGCAGGAGGTGTGCCGTGCGATCTGCATCTTACCTGGCCCACGGGCTCATCTTCAGCGCCAGACCTCGGCTCACGCAGAAGCCCGCTCCCCCGGTGGCGAACCAGAAGTTGACTGGTTTCTGTGAGGGAAGAGAGAGCTCGGTCAGCACGCGGATATCAAAAATATCCCCTCGTGGTGTCGGAAACCCGAGGCATCAAATGTAGGACAGTTCTGCGTACCATCTTATTGTCCCCCAGCCTCTCCGTGGCCTCGATGGGCCGGTCCAGACTGGGTTTACCGATGTACATGTCCTGGGTGTGGGGGTACTGGGACAGGTGCTTCACCAGAGTCCGGACATTCACGTAGTTGTCGTCGTCTACGTGACAGAACCACCTAAACAACGGAAGAATCGTCAGACCTGGACATTCTCCCGCCAATAAAACCATCAAAATAAGGATCAAGTACTTACTTTTTCCCCGACTCTATGAACTTATCATATTCCACCGCCATCTTGCAAGAGAGAGCTTGTCGGCTATGAGCTGCGGAGCAGTTTGTGTTGATGGCGTGACTCCCTGTGGCAACAAGGCAGGCAATAGGAGGGTTAGTTCCTCATCAATGGAGGCTTTATGTATTTTAATACAGTCAGGGAAGAAAAACTGCATTTTGATATCCTTTGTAATTAAACAAAGAGCTTCTCAGTTCCCGGGATGATACTTACCAATTTTCTTTTTCAGCTCCACGTCCTCTCCGTCTGTGAAGATGTACGTCTGTAAACAAAACAAAGGGAGAATTCAGACAAGTGCTCCTTAAATCCACAAAATCCAAACCGTGTTGCGTCATCATCGCACGCATCACGTCCACCAGCGCGTTCCGGAGTCCTTCTCCCTCACACCCGTCCCGTCCGGCGTGATTAGCATCAATCAACATGCCTTTTATGCAGCGGAAAACGCGTCGAGTTAAACAGCCCCCTGCTCCCATAAAGGCCCTTTGTCCCGCGGCTCACTCTCTCCATGGCAACCGTGCTGCCGCCCCGGAGCATCCCAGACACGGAACAAAGGGGGGGGGGGGGGGGCAGGGGCAGACGGTCCTCCCCGACACACACACCCCATTCATGTATCCCCCCCCCCCGTCCCCCTGGACCAGACCCCCATCCGAACCCGCCGCAGGTCCTCAGCGTGTTGAATGCAGCTAAAGCAGAAGCAAACAGCGGACGAGCCGCCGCCGCCACCGCGTGTACGCGCTCGCTGCCGCGTGACCCGACGGAGCCACGAGGCTGCGGCCGCTTGTTAAATGTAGCAGTTACTCATAAAAGGAGCGGCCGAGGATTAGACTCAGAGCAGGTGCGAGCCGGTGAATGGCGCTGCATGAAAAGGGTGGGGGGGGGGGTCTGCGTAACTGCCAGCGGCCTGTTTACTCTTCACCTCAGGTGAGGCAGCACCTGCCCGACATCACACTACCTTATCTGTGCCACGTGCCGCTACACGCCGGGCTGTGGCGGGAGGGGTCGGAAACAGAGCCGCGTCAGCTGTGACTCAGCTGCATCCGGAGTCGGGGGCCTCGGGTGAAAAGGACCCTCTCATCCGCGGAGAGCAGATGCTGGGGGCAGATGCTGGGGAAAGGTGGGGTCTGTTTAAGGCCGGCGGCGGTTCCAGGGGAGAACGGATCAGGGGCGCTGTTTGCTTTAAAAGCCCGCTGAATAGACGGCCTAATCACAGAGGCAGCTGCCAGGGCACCGGGGGAGGGAGGGAGGGGGGGAATCTCACTGCTGATTAGTAAATTGAAAACCGTGTGTGGCCATTCACCCCCCACCTCTGTCTCCTCCGCCCCCCTCGCCCTTATTCCTCCTCGGCCAGCGCCTCTTGAATAGAACAATGCTGTGGGTTTTCATGCTGGGTAAAGTCTCCACTGGGTAAATTCTCAATATGTTTGCCAGCATTTGCATACAGCTGCAGGAGTTAACTAGAGAGAAACCTCCCTGGGACCTCCCCTCCCCCCCCCCCCCGCACAGCACACTCCCCTGTCTTTGTTTCTGAACTGTCACCTAAAAAGAACAGTTACTTTCTCGGAATACTAATTCATACCATAAAAACCAGATGGCTGCGTGTGAAGAGATAAGAGGCGGGGGGGACGGGGGGGTTCGTGGGCGGCTGAGGAGAGGAGATGAGAGCTGCACTCCTGACCACAGGAAGGCCGGCACGGTGCTGTCTGAGCAGAACGTGGTGCCTGGCTGGCTGTCTCCGGCTCCACAGGAAGGAAGGGCACCGGGCCCCCTCCCTCCGGCAACCCCCCCAAAGCCTTTGTGGACCACTTTATCAGGACAAATTATTTGCACAGGACGCGCTGAACGGCATGCCCATACTAGCCACATGTTTTTAAAACCATTTGGCCTCTCCAGACACTTTCTGACCACTTGTGCGTCCCGGCGAGGACATTTTAAAAAGCGTCCATTGTGAAGACTGCTGGCTCATTATCACACTCCTGAGGGAGGAATTCATGGCACACCAGCTGCTGAGTTCATCTGAAGCAGCGGCTGTACGTGCCAGTTGTACAAATAAATTGGCCGCCGGCCTGCATTCTGGGGAAGGAAATATTGGGGACCATTTATTTAGTTATTTTTGGTGTTTTATGACCCTGCTATCAGCACAAAGGTAAATTGCTTACGGGTGATTAATATAAAACGGGGAGAGGGTGTTGCAAGAGAAAGTTGTATAAGGACTTTTGATGTCAGAGGCACCAATTCACAGACAAATCGGGCCTAACTTGCCTCAAAGGGTGTAACCTTTTACATAAAATGCTATTTATGCTCTGAGTGGGCTCAGAGATTAAGTCGGCCACCGGCTCTATTGTGTCAACACGGCTACGGCAGAGATAATCTTCCCTCTGTTCTGGTGTAAACAGCAGCTCCATCTGAGAGCAGAAGAGCAACGGGAACAAAAAGATCTTTTCTAAATTGCCGTTTTGCGTAAATATGAAAAACTTTTGTCCCTTGTGTGTGCCGCCGCAGAAGCGATCCAAACTCCACAGATGTCCGTCAGCTGAGCGTGAGAATCCACCCTGAGCACGGAGGACGGCCATATGCACACGGTGGGAACTCGCGGCATCATATGCCTGGCATTAGGTCCTTTGTTCCGTCTCTCCTGACCACCTGGCCCCCTTTCCTCCAGGAACTCCCTCTTGCATTGTGGGGCCCGCTCAGTTTTTGTCCACTCAGCCACCCGCCAGCTGCCCGCCCCGCCAGGGCCCCGCTGCCGACTCCGTCGATTGCAACCAATCAGCGCGGTCGACTCACGTCTGAGCAGATGTGCGTCTGCATCGGATGTGCGTCTGCGGTGCATCAACGTGAGCCGTGCCGATCGCCGTGACGGACGGCCGTCCTTTCAATTCACTGACGTCACACATAAGAGAAGAAACTTCTCCCCGACCTCTACGAGTGAGGACCACCTTGTGCGTGACAGCAGCCGAGGCAAATTTAAAAAGACATAGGAGTGTTTGCTCCACATTATGGCCGTGGGGGTCTTTGTGCACCCTCTGGAGCAGCTCGCCTCCCAAGGCCACATTTTCACATAAACTCGCCTATGGATGCCCCCCCCCCTTTGTCCCCAGGCATCCCCTCAAACGAAGCCCCCCATTTTCCCATCCCTCCAGAGAGCTTGACCCAGACTCGGCTCCCACGTTCCCATGGAGAGAGGGGAGACAAGGGGCCGGGGGAAAGCCTTTCTTCCCCCTTCAGAAAGACGCTTTGTTAGTGCTGGAAGAGGGACAGCGCTGGAGTCGGTGCTGTGAAGCATCCATTGCACTGGGGGGGGGCATTCACAGGGACACCCAAAGAGAGGAGGGATAATAGAGCGAGAGGGAGGGGGCGAGGGGGGCTGAGAGAGTGGGATCCCTGAAACGGCTCCCTCCGTTCTCAGGGACTCAGAGGAGAATCAAAAGTGACAGAGCCGAGCAGAGTTCTGCGGCTAAGCGGAACAATGCAGCCATCGAACGGGAATCACCTGCGTCATCTGCGTCACCCGCAAAAAAAGCACGCGCACGCGCATCCCTCATGAACTAAACAGTGCATCTCTGCACCTTTTACCTGTTGCATGTTCCTGGAGATCCACGTGTCCAGGAGCAGACTCAGCCTGGACTGATGGAACTTCTTGGTGGTCTTCACGGCGATGAAGATGTCTTCGGCGCTGATGTCCTCGGCCGGCGGCGGGTCGGTGCCGGTCGCCGGGGAGCCCGCGGGCCTCTCCACCTCCCTGCGTCCCCGCGTCAGTTTGGTGAAGTACGCGGAGAACCCCTTCTTGGTCCGCTCGCCCCCCCGCGCGGCGTCCTGGAGCAAAGAGCGCGCACCCGCGTCCCCTCCTGCGGCCGGCGCGTCCCCCACCTGCGCGCGGTGATGCTGCACGGCGACGAGCAGCAGCAGCAGCAGGCAGACGCACGCCGCGCTGGCCACAGAGACGGCGGTCTTCTTGTAGCTGCTCATCAACATAGTTCAACTCTTAGAAGACAAAAAAAGAAAAAGGCTACAAAAAAACGATGCAAAGTCCATAAAGTGTTTTTTCTGCTTCTTTAAATCGTTAATAACACGCAACGGGGTGAACGACGGACCTGTCGGCGCGCATAGCTGACTCGCGTGTAGGTAGCGCGTTGCCAGGGGGATATATAAGCTTCCCTGCTGGCCACGCCCCCTGGGAGGTGCCTGGATGCAGCGTGCCGGCCAGTGACGTCGCAATGGGGTGTGGTTACGGTCGGTGTGCTGGTGGGGGGGCAGAGCTGAGTTTGGCTGTTACAGAGATATTATCAGTAATAGACTGACACGGAGCCGCAGGCGCTCACAGGGAAAGGCGTGTTTATTAAGGCGGTGTTTAAACAAAAAAAAAGTTCATCCTGCAGATCTAATTTTCTAAATCAATTTTTTTTATTTTCCAAGGTGAAGCTTCACCATAGCAACAGGGCTCTTTTGTTCCCGCCCGACCTTGTGAGGACTCTAAACAGTTGGCCATTCCAACAAAACACTTGTTATTCAAATTCTGGCTCTGGCAACCGGGCGCCGTCTGGCACTGGGAGGCCGACCAAAGCACACGAAAGTCCATTTAGAGCAGCGTGCAGCTGGTGGAGCCTCAATAGCCTCACCGACGCCGGGCAACCGCCCGATTTAGACCGTTTAGTATCAAGCAAATGTCCGGTTAAACAGCGGCCTTTAAGTTTGGCACAAGATCAAAAAAGAGCTGCTTAAAACAGATGCCGACATTGGGATAAACTTCTCAAAAATCCAACGCTCCATTTCAACTCAACTCATCATGCTGAACTTCTGTCCTCAGCGACACCAGAAGTCTTCAGCGAATCTCTGGCCACTGCAACGAGTGTATTTCACTGGTTTCAATTCAGCACATCCAGGACATAAGTTCCCTCTGAGCTCATAGATGCTGCTGACAAGCTCTTTTGTTCCCCTTTTAACGTTGTGCACAGAAAGGCGGCTAAAGGCAAGTAGAAGAAAGCCTCTCCGAGGCCGCCATTCTTCTTCCGTCAACCGCCTCTATCTCGCAGAGCTTTCATCACGCTTCAGACACTCTTCTTGGTCCTCTTGGACTTTTGGGGGGACAATGTCGGTATTTAAAACGACCGGTTGTTTCAGCTTTGTGTTCAGTTTATTTCAGCCTTTTGCTTCTTCCACGGAGACCAACGGAAAAATGCTTTCTTGTCCCTCTTTGAAGCCCCCCCCGTGGTCTCTGTTGGCCCTCCGTCTGACATTACTTCTGGGTTAAATCCAGCGTCTTCACACAAGCCCACTTCCTCCCCAAAGTGCCCACAGACCCACAAATAAACACTTGATTTTCCCTGCAGGTCGTACCAGCGCGCTGGGGGATCTGAGCGCTCTGTGAAGCTATTTGTAGCTCCTGCTTCTTCTAAGACGATTGCATCTGAAGGCCCGTGGCCCACGGCAGGTAAACAATCCCAGCATGCACTGTGGCCTTCGGTGTCACAACATCCCGCAAAAAGGCCTCATCTCAGCACCGAGTATCTCTTTCTGGATTTCCTGATACACGCCACAAAAGCAGGAAATGTTACATTTTAGTATTCTGTGGATCTACACGGAACACATCAACTCGAAGCCACATCTTTCTTTTCAGCTCCCAGTGTTTCCATTCTTTATTTTCTCATGCAGGTCGCTCAGATCAAATCTACTCAATTTCACCTTTTCGCATCTTAATATACAATGTTCTGAGTCTAAGAGCTCCCGTATACCAGACTATTGGAGCGTTTCCTCAATTTGTCTCCTTCCTTCATATACGATCACAACAGTGTCTGAGTTGTTGCAGCGGCTCCATGAAACATCAAAGCGCGCTGACAGTGTGAGCAAGAGCTAAGTTAAAGAACAAATCGCATGAGACTGCAGCTTGAGCTGGGATCAGTTTGCGGTTCTGTTTATTTTCCCAGCATGCACACACCAGCTCTGATTGGATTACTGCTCACACCAGAAGCGAGAGCCATGGGACCGAGCGTCCTCCTTAGATCTCGGTTTCACTTTCCCTCCTCATGCAACATTAGAAGAAACTCTCAGAGGACCAAAGGCTGAGAACGCTTCAACTGCCCGGCAGACAAATAAATACCGCTCGTTTCTATTGACCCGACCCGACGCAGATAAAACTACGTAACTCACGAGATAAGGATGATGCATTAGGCTTCTCTCAGTACCGGCTCAATGATGTACGCTGTAATGCTGCAGTAAGTATTCAGATGCTTTAACACAAAATGCAACACTGCAACCAGGACAACACTCAATTTCAATTAGAAATCCTGCATTAAAAGTGTTACCTAATTAAGCATGAATCTGATATTCCAAATGAGATAGATGGTTATTATTTCCTCATACGTCTGCGTGTTAGCAGCATTCATGGTCATTGCGGAGAAAGTTTTGGGCGAAACCGTACTTAGTAAAGCTAAACAAAGTCCCATGAATACACATGCACGTGCTGTGTTAAAGCAGCTTGATCGTGTTGAACTATAAATGATCAAACGGGAGCTGACGGGGTGTCCGCTTACACGTCCAACACTTCTTCTTCTACTATTCAATAATATATAGACATGTAAATCATCTTTATTTCCCTCAGCCCAATAAAACCAATCAGATCAAAGTACTCCACGCCGTGCACAACCACGTATCGTTGGAAACTGGATATTCACTGGAGACCCCGTCAGGTTCATATTCCACGGCTCCATGAACTCAAGGGACCTCTGAAAGGGGGCCGACAACTCTGACCGACTTCCGTATCGTGCATTTGCGCATTTGAAGCGGCATGTATGTGTTCCTTGTGTTGAAGCAGTCCCGTTGTGAAGACAACGGCCTTCGAGGGGCTTTTGATTGTTTGTCTCGGCGGCGTGCACGGCCTGACTTGTTGTTCTCTGAAGTCACATGATGTAGTTGTACCACGTCGCGAGAAGAAGTATCAGCAGCGGTGAAGTTTACTCTCGGCTCGACAAACAAGGAGAAAGACACAATTCTGCAGATCCAAAGAAAACAGGAAACTCACGACCGGTGGTTGATACCCCCCCCCCTCACACATCCCTTTGCATAAGCGCTCGGACCTGCTGGTCGGCCCCTGCTCCTGCCCTACTTCCACTCCGTCAGCCTAATGCTTCCCAGCGCTCTCCCTTTCTTATTGTTCTGTGGACGTGTGGAGGTCGACACGTTCAGTCCCGAACCGCGAAGCTTCTTGTGGGAAATGGGCCTAAATAACCAGACTGGCGTGGTCTCCTGTTTGTTGTCTATTGTGGGCTTTGTGTGTGATATGGGCGTTACACACATTGTGTCATTTTTCTCTCTTTCCCCCCCGGAAACTGATCCTGAATATGCACTGACATCCCCCCTTCTGTACTTCAACAGTCAGTATTCTACGGAGGCCATCGGGGGCGGTGGAGCATTCGCCTCCTAGCTTCCTACGAGGGTCAAATATTTACAGCAGTGAATCATTGGTGTGAACTAATAATGCTGCTGAATGTCCTAAAACGGGATCAATATTTAAACTGTGATAAAAGTCTCTAACACAATGAATACTTAAAAAGGCGGCATTTCTTCCACAGGTCGAAAGAAGAAGAATCGGATTGGGGGCGCCACCCCGGGGTGTCCCTCATCGTAGAGCGTCCCGTTACCTCATCTGTTTGGAGACGACCGACCCTGCGTGACCTCCTCGGGCCTTTACGCTCGCTCCCAGCGGGCCGCACGTTACCCATCGCTGACCCCCCCTGAGCTTTTATCACAATATACTCCTTATGATACTGTGACACCCCCGTCAGTCATCCTCACGCAATATACCCCCTCCATCTGCATCTGTTTAGGACTTTGATGCGCGTTTGCTCTCCATTAGAACCAGTGAGAGGACGAGAGCTCGACCTTTTCCCCCCTCTGTTGTTTTTAGACACGACAATGAAAAGCAGATGTGGAAACAGTGAGAGACAACGCGGCCCATGCTGACTCAGCATTTCGCTCCCAATGCTCGAGTTAAAGCAGATGTTTTGTTCCCTTCTTCACCCACGTCGTCTTTCCTGTCGTTCAGCTGCGATCGTTCGTCCTTTTTTCCAGCTTTGCCAGCTGTTATTTATTTTGATGATCCGTAAATTGCTATTAATACGGGCTGTTAAATGGCAACAGCAGGACTCGGTATTAAAGGATAACGGCTAAATGGGCCAAGCGGGGGCTCCCAACACATAACACCTGTCAGGGAATCCTGCATCATTACAGACTCTTCAAAAGCGCACCTTCCTCCCAGACCGTCCAACCTGGTCCGTCCAGGGAATCCCGCCTTTTTCATGGGACCCCGGATTAATTCCCGGCACCAGGCCCGGAGCCGAGAGCGGCCTCCGTCCCACCGAGCGGCGGTTTATCTCTTGCGGCGGGACCTACTGGGCTGATCCTCTCATATTAAATGGATTAGCGAGAGTCCTGGTTCTACTGTCAGGAGCCTGTGAAAAGAACAGGGATTTAGCATGTCGGCGTTCTCCTCGTCTGCCAGCATTTTCAACAGTAAATGTGCATTATGTGCTGGTCGAGGACAAACGCTGCCGCCCGTGTAGCGTTTTTACCGCACATTGGCGTCAGAAACCAATCAGAAATCAAGGTCTTATCTCTCGCAGTATCCGTGGGAAACTGTAGCATTAGTGCTGCTTACAAGCCTCTTTGATTTCCCACGGGAAACGTCGGCGGCAGCAGCAGCAGCTTAGGTCGGGATGCTGCGCTGCATCGCGGGGGTGGAGGGGATCGGGTCGCCGGCCGAAGGGTGTGAGGTTTTGTTCTCAGGTAGAACATCGTTGTCGTACCTCGGCCAGCAATCGACTCGGCTGCACGGCCGCCCCGCGTGGGTCTGTTTGCAGACCGCTGCGATCGGGAGTTTGTGCTCCGTTGACTGTCGGCAGGAAGCCAAGCTGAGATTCTTCTTCACTTAATCAGTTAAGCTGACAGCTTAACGTATTGCCTTTAATTCACTGCATTTTATTGATCTTAGCCACTGAGAAACCTCGCCTTCAGTTAGAAACACCGTAATCGCAATGCAAACAAGAGAGAAAAAGGTCCTGAATCCTCTGCTGAATAATGTAGTATAGTAGTGTTGTTGTTTTCAAAATGTGGACACTTCTAGGACACAACCC